ATATATATATATAAATTCAAAATAATGTATAAAGTTCCATTTAGAAATAATCAGAACAAACCAAAAATTCAAGTATTGAATGCAGCAGTGGTTTGTTCCTTTGGGGAAGTTTGTGGAATGGAAAGGAAGGGGGGATTTCCTTTTTTAATCTCTTTAATTCTGTATTGGGATTTATTGTACAAGGAGGAAGTACTCATATAGTTTTCTAAAACTGCTGAAATAAAGAGCCAGGGACAGAGGCACCTCTATAATCCCAACCACTAAGGAGGCTGAGGCAGGACAACAGCTAGCGCCCAGGAGATTTGAAGTCAACTCGGGCAATACAACAAGAGGCTGTCTCCATCTCCAAGAAGGAAAAGAAAAAAAGCAAGAAAGAAAGACTTTACTTAACAAACACAAAATGATTATAAATACTCTGATGGTTCCATCCCCCGCTACCAGGTAACATTTTCACGAATAAACTGTTAAAAACGAAGTGAACAATAGGCTGGGTGCAGTGGTGCACATCTGTAGTCCCAGCACTCGGGAGGCTGAGGCAGGAGGATTATTTCGAGTTCCAGGCCAGCCTGGGCTGCGTAGTGAGTTCAAGGCCCTCCTGAACTGCATAGTGAGACTCTGCTTCAAAAAGACGAAAACAAAAACCACTCCCCTCAAAACATTCAAAGTAAACAAAATCACACCAAGAGAAATCTGCAGGTCTGTTTTATTTCCATTAGAAAATTCTATCTTTATAAAAATTTGGTCCATTTTTTTCTGCTTTACTTCTATCACTCGTCTAATTTAATTTTACTGAAGTAAAAGCATAATCATATGTCTAACACAGGAACTAAATATTTTGCCCGCTAAATTAAGAGGATTTAACTAAACCGGTGCGCTCCGTATTATTTCCCAGGACTGACTCCTCCTTCTGCAGGCTCTTTCTCTTCCACTTTTGTGACTGCGACTGCGACGTCCCTCCCCTCACACCGTGCAGCATGGGTGTGCCTCAGTGTAATTCATCCTGCAGCGACTGACTCGTGTCAGATCTGCCCACGAGATGGAATTTCTGTAATGTTATATGTTTTAGTCACACTTGCCCTTTCCAACATCATTTATAAAAATTAAGACACTGATTGAAGCCATGATGGAAATGCCCAAGTCGCAGCTGTGGGCCTGTTCAGAGCGAGGCTGTTGTGAGTGGCCCTTTCACAGCCACTGCTTCGATCTCCACTCGGGCTCCCTGGAGGAAAGGAGAGAAACCATGTCCACAATTTTGTACAAATTAGGAGAGCTCAGGAACACCTGCCCAATACGCATGTAGCTAACAGTACCATAGTACTTATAGCATTACACTTCTCAAAGAAAGAAGGGACAAGGAGCATTCACTAGGAACCTACAGTAGGCCAGGATCCCATGCCTGGCTCATTGGATGCTCACAGCAGCCCTCTTAGACGCATGTGCTGCCCATTCATCAAATGAAGCTTAGGTAGGCCGGGTCCAGAAGAGGGTTAGACCCGTCTGGGTATCGGTGTGACAGCACACATCTGTAACCCTAGCATTCAGGAGGCTGAGGCAGGAGGATCACTGTGAGTTTGAGGTCAGCCTGGCATCCTGTCTCAGAAAACAAATAACAAACAAAAAACAACAAAAACCCCATGTCCACATTGAGTTCCTTTTATGAAACCCAATATTTAAATCAGTTTGATGATAATGGTTATTCCACATAGCAACTAATTAATAAAAATGCCACTCTTGGGAGATATATTTGGTTAGTGGAGAATTACAAGTAGAAGTCAGTTAAGAGCACCTTCTTGCCTGACTTCCACTTGTATGACCATGTGGCTCAGAGGCACAGGAAAGAGCTACCTGTGAGATCGGAGGACCAAAACCAGGATGATGAGCACTACATGTGCTGCTGGTTTGGACAGCATTTTTCGAGGGGAAGGTCTAGATTTCTGATAAAGAACTAAATGAACTTTTTATGCAGAATTGAAAACCCATCTCAAATTTATAGTCCTCTAAGTAAATTTTTTATAGTCCTCTAGTACTTTTTCTCAATCTTTTTTTTTTTTTTTTTGAGAAAGGGTCTTGTTATGTAGTTCATGGTGGCTCTGAACTCTCTCTGTAGCCCAGGCTGGCCCTGACCTTGCAGTAACCCACTGCCTTAGCCTCCCAAATGTTGGGATTACAGGCACTTGCCACCAAACCTAGCAATTTTTCTCCCACTTAAATATTCTGATTTACAAGGTTTAATTTTTTTTTTGAAAGGCAGAGAAGTTTATTTTGGCTCACAGTTTATAGAAGCAAGTTTTCTTAATTTTTTTTTTTTCCTATGGATGAAATACTGGGCATTCACTTTCAGACTTTAAGTACCTAGGAAGCAAGCCAGTGTGGTGACTTGCAATCCTAGCACTTTGGAGGTTGAGGAAGGAGGACCTTGAATTTGAGGCCAGTCATGGCTACAAAGCAAGATGTTGTCTCAAAAAACCAAAAGCATGGAACTATATTCTTTATTTTTATTATTATTTTTTTGGTACCGGGGCTCGAACTCAGGTCCTTGTGCTTATGAGGCTGGAGGCAGAACCACTGAGCTAAATTCCCGGCCTTTATATTCTTTACTTTTAAATTTCCTTTCACAGTACTTAGTTTGGTTTATTCAAAACACAATGTAGAAATTTAAAATTGTGTAGATGAGTCATTTTCAAATGTACGTACCATAGGCAAAGCAGAAACCTGATAAGCTGCTCGAGCAGGAAAATTACTCTTGAAATCTGAATTTAAAAGAATTTCATTTTAGTTTCCAGACATTGTACTGTTACTGCACAATCAAAGTCTGGTGAGTACTTTGTGGACTAATCAGTTCTTAGATAGAAGCAACAATTGAGAGAAGTAACTCACACTGGTTTGATGAAACATTTTGCCATATAACTCATTTTTAATACTTTTCTAGAAGTCTTAGCTTTCTGGAAAAAGTAAGACAATATAATCCATGTCCATAAATAACTTTTAGGAAGCTTAAAAAGCCAAAGGGAGGTTTACCACAATTAGGCTTTAGGAAAATGGATTTGTAACATTTTTGTATACTATCTTAGAAATGCAACAGAAATATCTCAGACCCTTTTTATGGGTTTAATACTGTGTGTTTCTAATCAAAGCATTAATTCTTTTAGGACAGATATCATTTTGTAAAGCATTTCCTATCACTCTGAATTGATAAGTGACACATATTCATGTTAAACTAATTTCTCTTTAGCACAGTAAACAGTAATAAAGTCATTTTACTTACATCGTTGGTAGACTTCATTGACAGCACCAAAATCGTTTATGTCAGCCAGCAAGACAGTTGCTTTTACCACTAGAAGATAAGTACATCGTCACAGGCTTAGTTATTTGGTCTGATTAAAAACACAGAAAAACAGTACACATGTTTCTGTCTTGATTACAATGGGAATGAAGAAGTGAAGTGGAATAGTGATGCGCCCCACACCACTGAAACAACTTTAAAATGCTAGAAAGATACGGCGTGACATATTGCCGGAAGCCTGTAATCCCAGCACTGTGCAAGGCTTAGTCGGAGGATAGCAAGTTCAAGTCCAGCCTGGGCAATTTAACGACTTACCCAGTCTCAATAAAAACTAAAAAACAAAAACTAAAAGAAAAAAAAAAAAAACCAAGACAAAACAAAACAAACCAAAAACAAAACCCTAAAAAAAGTGTTAAGGGTATGGCTCAGTGTGAAAACCCAGAGTCCAATCCCAGGTACAAACAACAACAACAGCAACCACCACCTCCACCCCCAGAACAAAAACCTCAAAACTAAACAAGGAAATATTAACAGTGGAGGAAATTAACAGTGAAGTAAAATCCAGCAGCTCACCGTTGGTGAAGTCGCAGTCGGCTGCTTTCAGAACCTCGCCTATGTTGTTAAGAGCCTGAAACCAAGGCACAAAAGGGCTAAGGCGCGGGTGTCATACTAAACTGCAACAGAAATGCAGCTACATCCTTCCATTACCTCTTCAGATGGCTCACACGACATAAAAACTCTCCTCTTTTTTTTTTCCTCATTGAGTTTACTGGTACATTTTAGGTATACATATACAGTACCAGTTACATTCATCATTGGGATCTTGTTCCTTTAATTATTTGTTTCAACTTCATGGAAACTGACTAGAAATGATGTGTTTCAGCACTTTGTTCCAGTCTTTTCACTCAATAAAGGAAAGAGTCTTTTCACAGAAAGATGCATTCCTCTAGCGGAAAACCAGGAAACATGCAACTTTCTAGATGTGTCCTAAAAGAGATCTCTTTCCTTTACTAAGTGAAAGGACTGGAACAATGAAAAAAAAATACTGGAACAAAGTTCTGAAACACATCATTTCTAGTCAGTTTCCATGAAGCTGAAACAAATAATTTCCAGGATCCCCCATGCTCTAATTCTTCAAAGATAAGAATGAAGTGGTAAGCATGAAAACATGTTTTCTTTTAAAGCAATAATTGATGTGAAAGGGCTCTTTTTCCTTTTTTTTAAAAACAGTATTAGTAAAGGCTGGGGATTTAGCTGAGTGGTACTGTGCTTGCCTTGTAAGGGCAAGGTCCCGAGTTCAATTCCCAAACACCCCCAACTCCCCCAATATTAATGAATTCTATATGTTTGATAACTCTGGCCTCTAGAAAAGCTTCAATTTTTAAATCTTATCTTCAACTTATTATTTTCAATTCATTCTTCTTCCCTTCCTTACTGATGACAATATAACATTTACTTACAGTTCTGTGTTTTTAAAAAATGATGACTGTTTTAAGTAAGTGCTACACAGTTAAGGTAAAAACTTCAAAAGCAAAAGAAGAAACAGCAAGATGTCTCTGACCCTTAGACTCCCACTCCCCGAGGTAACAGCTTCCAGTTTCTTTCATATTCTTCTACTAGAGAGAGTCGATGCTTTTACCAGCAGAAATGCACATATTCTTCGACACAAGCACGCACACATGATGGCGTAAGGTGCACACTGTCCTGAATGTTCATTTTATCACGTGATGATTCATCTTAGAGATCTTTCCATATGAGTTCAGTTGTATACATCTAGCATAATTTATTCAACCAGTTCCTATGGATAGACATTTAGGGTTTTTTTTGTACCAGGGATCGAACTCGGGACCTTGTGCTTGTGTGGCAGGCGGCAGAACCACTGAGCTAAATCCCTGGCAACATTTAGGTTGTTTTTTATTGTTGTGTATTACAAACAACTCTGTGAATGCATTAAATTACAATTTAATTCCATTATTTGATTAGAATAATTCCATTATTTTAATTGTTATATAAAACATTCTTTTAAAAACATGTTATGTGTAACCTTTGATATTTTTCTCTAACAAATATTGACCTTTTACTTCTATGGTGGTGACTTTTTTGGGGTTAGTGATGGGGGGAGGTCAATGGCCTTGAAAAGAAAATTTCCCAATCCACGTGGAAGTGGCAACATTTTATTTGATTTTGACAATTCAGGTTTAAAACCACATTAGTGCTAGCGAGGTGGGAATATTGTTTTTTAGTGAAATGATTCATTAAATTTCTAGCTCCAGTCCTTTAATCAAGAGCCGTTTTAAATCAGTGAGTGGTTTAAAAAGCTTTTATTCTTGTTTTTAAGACAGGGAGCTATGTAGTTTAGGCTGGCCTTGATCTTGTAGTGATCCACTTGCCTCAGCCTTCCAAGTGCTAGGATTATAGGTGTGTGCCACCATCCTTGGCTGTAAAAAGCATCTAATCTCTACCAAAACAATCAGGCAGTGGATTTCTCTGCTTCCTCCTCCTCTTCTTCCTTTTCCTCTCTCTTCCTCCTCCTCTTCTTCTTCGTACCGGGGATTGAACTTGAGACCTTGTGCTTGCAAAGCAGGCAGCAGAATCACTGAGCTAAATCCTCAGGCCAGGCAGTGGAGGATTCTTAATATTCATCAATATTTTTTCATTTATTTATTAGCAGCACATTTATTTGTACATTTTAGATATACATAATGATAACATTCATCATAGGGAATTTGTATCCATACATGGTATATCTTGCCCCTCACCCCTCCGCCCCGTGTACAAAAGCTTTATTTCCACTTTTTCCTTCTATTTTTTTTTTTTTTTGGTCTCTATTTCCTCATCAATATTGAAAAGAAGTAGAAAAGGAAACTTCAAATGTGGAAAATGACTTACTTGTTTTGTTTCTTCTACTACCCCTCCTGGCACAAGCTGTCCACTTGCAGGGTCTCTGCCGACCTGTCCTGAAATGTAAATGGTCCTGTCGACTAACACAGCTTGACTGCAACAAAGAGAAAGCCAGTGTATGTATAAAATACAACACTCATGCTAAAAAGTACAAATTGTGAAAGAAAAAAAGATAATTAGATTTCATTCAAATGAAAAACTTGTTTATCAAGAAATATCTTTAAGAACATGAAAAGATAACTCAGATTGGGAGAAAAATATTTGCAAAACATGTATCTAATAAAGGACTTGTATATAGAGTATATGAAAAATGCTAATAACTCAATAATGAAAAACAATCTTATAAAAACAGGGAAACAATTTGAACAGGTACTTCTAAAAGAGGATAAACAATGAGCTAAGGAGTAAAGATGCTCACCATATTTGTCACGAGAGATTTGCGAATCAAAGCCACAAGATAGCTCCACACACAGTGGTGCAGTAATGAGCACTGGCAAAGATGTAGAGCAACTGGAATCTTCACATACTGTTGGCAGGAATGCGAAATTGCACGGCTGCTTTGGAAAATGGTTTGGCAGTTCCCTACAAATTTAAATATAGGGGCTGGGGATTTGGCTCAGTGTTTCCGTTGCCTGCCTCCTAAGCACAAGGGCCCGAGTTCCATCTCTGGCATCACCGCCCCCCCAAATTAAATATAAACACTCAACTCAAGTTAAGAGTTTCTTTCCTAGAAAGTTTCTTTCATTCCCAAGAAAAATGAAAACGTGTTCAAAGACATCACAGAAACACTCAGAACATCACTGGTCAGGATATCGACAAAAGTAAATGAACAAAACCAACTAAATAATATATAGTGTTTGGTTTCATTTATATGAAATTCTAGAAAAGACAAATAATAGCAGCAGATAGTATAGATGACCGGTAGTTGTCTAAGCCGGGGTGGGGAGCGGATACAGACGAGGCAATGTTCTCGAGGCGATGGGAGCTGTGGCAGCAGATGTGCGACTCTACACATTTACTGAAATTCATGGAATGCTGCACTTAAAACAGGTGATTTTTAAAAAATCAGTAATTTATTCTCCAATAAAACTGTGAAACAAAAAGTGCCAGGAGCATTTTTAAAACAAATACTTCTCCGACATGAGAGTCACTGCTTGCTGCAGAATAAATTAAGGATGCATGTTTGAGGATACTCTTCAGTACTGACAAGTGCTCACTTCTATAACGAGGGTGCTCAATTTCAGGGTTAGGGTAAAGTCATAGGGAAAACCCCAAACTACACTGATACCCAAAAACAATGCCAAACAACTCAACCTTTTACAATTCATTTCAGGATAAAGAAGCTGTCTGTTTTTGTTGTTGTTTTGTTTTTTTGTTTTTTGAGACAGGGCCTTACTATGTAGTTGAGACTGACCTGGAACTCACTATGTAGCCCAGGCTGGTCTCGAACTCACAGCGATCCTCCTGCCTCAGCCTCCCGTGTGCTGAGATTGCAGGCGTGAGCCACCACGCCCGACTGTTTTTTTGAAATGAAGAGAAATCTTAATGGTTATTTTACCATTTACATACTTATTTAAGATACTCTTGCCACCCCTCCCCCCGCAGTGCTGGGGTCAAACCCAGGGCCTCACACTTGTGGTAGGCAAGTGTTTTATCCCTGATTTATAACCTTTGTCCCAAACTTTCCCCTTTTATGTCATGAAGTTTTCCCTGGTTTTCTCAATCATATTTTAACAAGACATTTTCTTTTAGAATAGGAGAACATTCACATGGTCCAAAAATCTATATATGAAGAAGAGCAGTGAAAACTCTCCATCTTATTCTCTGTTTGTTTGGTTGCCAGGCCCTATAGATAATGATCATTCCTCTTTTTTTTTTTGGTTTTATCTTTTGAGACAGGGTCTTATTATGTAGTCCAGGCAGGCCTCGAATTCATGGCAATCCTCCTGCCTCAGCCTCCCAAGTACTGGGATTATAGGCATGCACCCCCATGCCTGACTTGGTTTCTGTTTATGTATTCTTTACTTCATGCACATAGAAACCAACAAATGCACACAAATATTTCTTCCTCTTTTTTTTTGGGGGGGTACCCAGGATTGAACTCTGGTCCTTGTGCTTGCAAGGCAGGTGGTGGAACCACTGAGCTAAATCCCCGGCCCTATTTCTTCCTCCTCTGACACAAAATATGGTATAGTATATTTTAAATTTTTTTTTCCACTCAACAGTATGTCACAAAAACCTTCCATAACTACATGTTACATTCCTATTTTTTTTTTGTACCAGGGATCAAACTTGGGACCTTGCACTTCTGAGGCAGATGGCAGCACCACTGAGCTAAATCCCCAGCCCTCCTCATTCATTTGCATTTTATTATATGAAATACTTCATTGTATAAATATACATTAACTAGTACATACTTTAACCTTTGCTTCCAATATTTTAGTATTATAAATAGACCTACACTGAAAACCATTACACACAAACTTCCCCTGAGCAAGTAACTAGGCCCTTTCCCCTGGGCCCCAAGGGTCTCTGGTTGAGCCTTTATTATGACATACAGGATCTTGCTGTGTATTGTACCCAGCCCTACATATTATAATAGCCCCGTTCCTACCCTATCTCCTCTGGCCCCCAAGGCATCTTAGATTCTAAATTTCTTACAGGTAGAGACAGTGTCTTACCAGAGTCTTGCTGTGCTCCTAGAAGGCACACTCTACCTGTTGATGTTTTGCTCTCTAACCACTTAGTAGTTTTGGCTGTCAATAAATATCTTTTAGGCAGGAACTCTTGGCTTATAGCACGGGCTTTGGAGAGCTGAAGAAAGTAGACTTGAACTTAGTAACAGAATTCAGAGTCTAGGAATTCTCAACTATCTGGCTTTCACCTTGGTCCTCAAATAAATAATTATTGAGAGAGGTTAATTTGTAACCTTTTCTCAGGTTGAACAGCACCATTAGTTAGCACTACCAACTGTCCTGTGCAGTTCCTCTGTTACCATTAGCTAACATCAAGTGTCCTAACTTTCTACATCTGAAATGGAGTTTAAACTCATGTATTATTATTCATCAAAAACTATGATGGGAGTGTGGTTCAGTGGTACAGGTCTTCCCTAGCATGCATAAGGACCTGAGTTCAACCTCAGCACTGCCAAAAACTTTATGATGGTAATATAAACCCATTTATTTTTGAGAATCAAAAGTAAGCATTGGAACTCAGAGACTATCTGAGCTATGTGAGTTATTTCTTAGAAATTTAAAGAGGTTTATTTACAAAATAATTGGATACATGATGCCATATCTTCAGCATAAGAATCCTATTATCCACAGAGAAAACTTAAAAGTTTACCGTTCTACTTCCAGGTCAAAGGGAATATTTCAAAAAGCATTCTAAAGATAACAATGTCACAATCTATGCCACTGTATTACTGGCTGATGTGCTAAAAAGTGGAAAGCAAAGCAATAGCACCGAGACATTGAAATCTTCTCAGGGCCCTGTCCTTGAATATCCTGCACTGTGCTGAGCTGACTAGCTAATTAGTGACAACCCCATATCCATCCCAACTCCAGGGGCCAGCAACACATCTGAATTCACTCAATGCACTTGACTTCTTTCTGCAGAGGATCCACAATTTTCAAAAAGTATTCTCACTGCAAACTCCATGCACAAAATCTCATTTCCAAATAGTTCTTAAAATATGTCCAATTAACTTTATTAGAATACTGTAAGTTGGAAGGTGTTTTTCCTCAACAGAAAACAATGAAAACAAAGATCATATCTAGAACTTGTGTTCTGTGTCCTTTATGCAAAGTCCCATGCCATGAAACGTGCACAGCTTCTGTCACACTGGCACACACATCCGACAGTGCCCCTCTGTTCTGCTTGCTCTGCTTTATCAAGAAGCTGACCCTCACCACCTCAAAGTCAACCAGGGCATTAATCTTTTCTCTCCTGAGCAAAGAACACAGAGTATTTCTAAATAGGTCAAGGGAGATGTATGCTCTTTTAGCAGCTGTCAGGACAAAGTGTCACTGTTTATTTTTATGGGTCACTTTTGTTTTGAGATAAAAAAGAGGGGGAAGATGGAAAGAGGGAGGGGATGGAAAGAAAAGAATTAAAGATGTGTTCGGTACATGTACCAGGTCCCCACGAGGAATGTGATCATTATGTACTGCAAACTTGTACTAATAATATAATTGAAGAGATGAAGTAGAAATGTTATTCTATATGCTATCATTGTGTGATTAAGAAGAGGAATTGGGAGAGAAGGATGAAAAAGATTATTGAGTTTGACTTACATTGTAATATTGCTAATATTCCCTATTTTCACTCTCTTCTCCAAATTTTTCTTCAAATTACTATTAAGATGCTTTTCTTAAAAGAGATATGGTCATGTTATTTCCGGCTTAGGAAGATATTAGGGTTCCTCATTACATACAAAATAAATCTATTATTCTTTTCTGGTATGGGGGATTGAACCCAGGGGGTCACACATGCCAGGCAAGAGCTCTACCACTAAGCTATATCCCCAGACCAACTTTATGCTCTTCTGTTTAACACTGGAAACTACCAACAACTTGAACCCCCGAATCTAATTTTTACTGCTCACTTTTTAATTTAATCCCAACATTAATTTATGAAGTAGCGTCAGTCAAGGTTATGTCTCTTTAGAAGAGGCAAAGTAGGACAGGTCAAGTAAGTCAATTTGCAAGGTAATACCTGTAAAACAGAAGCAAAGCAAAAACTCAAGTCCAAAGTTCAACTCTTAAGGAGCATCCCCCAAAGGGTCAGTCATACAGAGTGAATCCCAGTGAGGAAATGATTCCCTTTTCCTTTTTTCTTTTGTTTTTGTACCAGGGATTGAACTTGGGTCCTGGTACTTTAGAGGCAGGCGGTGGAACCACTGAGCTAAATCCCCCGGCGTGATTCCCTTTTCAATTCTTCTATGTCGGAGATTGCAAACTAAATGACTTGCATTGAGCTCAGGATCCCACTGCCTAAATTAAAATCCTGTTACACCCTTTCTTAGAGGTGTGACCTTAAGCGTATTATTTACGTTTGTGTACATTAGGTTTTTTTGTCTAAAAAATGGGAACCGTAATAGGAACTAGGCACATGAAACACTTAGAATTATGTCTAGTGCTGAGTAAGCATCAACAAATGTTAGCAACTGTAATTTCAACTCTTCTAATTAAAGAGAAGAAAATATGATTTAGAAAACAAATTTAAAGAAATATCACTTCTTTTTTTTAAAGGCTGAGTTTGGAACCCGGGGACTTGCAAATGCTTGGCAAATGGTCTACCACTGAACTACATCCCACCAGAAACACCACTTTTAACAGAGTGCAGGCCTCAGGTTTTGAGCCAGCTGTAGTGTCTAGTTAAAATTTAATAACACTTTTCATTAAGCTTATTTTTTACTATTACTTTCTATTGAGTTGTATTCTATTTAGCATACTGTTTGTTATGCAGTTTCCTTTAAAAACTAATCTGTTAAGTAAAGCCAGATATCTCAAAGAAATATGTTAAGTAAATTATAATATAGGTGGTGCAGTGTTGGGGAAAAATGCAATAGTGGCTCTTGAATTACTAAAATTTCTGCCCCAAAATCTTCACGTCACACATTCTTCCACACCAACACCATCACACCAGCTGTTTCTCCTATTTGGAATCCCCTTCACTCCATGGCATCCTTACCTTGAATTCCTTACCAAATTGATTAAAAAACAAAAATTAAACTTCACAATGACCCCAGAAATGGCAAATCCAATCTTCAAAACCCAACTCAGGGACTACAAGGACTGAACAAAATATACAGTGAATGTTTAAAAATCTATACAGTACAAGACACTGCCATTAATCTCCCTCAAAATAGCTTCCCTTGCTTTGAACACTTATTCTACATTCCTGGCACTTTTGTAAGCAGTTCTAGTTCTCTTTCACGGGTGTCTTTGTGAGGTGGGATCAAACATCCAGTAAATGCTCCTGCAAGGTGTCAGTGTGACTTCTGGCTCATCCTTAAGTTATAATGACCACAAAAAGTAAATGTTTGAATGGATTCAGGACATTTTAGGTAGGCACAAAAGCACATTAACGCACGTGTATCTTTTACAAGGAACCATCTTAAATCTTATTCTCTCTCCTAATTTGTTCCTTCACTCCACTGAATTTATTTCCAATCTTACTATAATAATTATTGTTCTGCTACATGTGAGCACTATTTCTTATGGTAATGTGGTAGAGAGGGTGCTAGCGCTTGAATTCAAATTGAGCTGCCACTTCTAGACTGTCTGACCTTGGAAAAGAGGACTTAAACTTCAGTTTTTTTTTTTTTTTTTTTTTTTTTTTTTTTTTT